GGCAGAATGTACAAAATGGATTACAAGAGAAAGAACTGGTGACAAGGAGTCCAGCAAAGAAGTTATTGTCATCATCTTGTAGCCTGAACCAGTACAAAATGAGGGTTTTAGTGAGATAGACATTATGGTACTAGAATCAAAAAGTCTTGATAAGGTATTGAATATATAAGGCAAAAGGCCAGGAGGAGTCAAAGATGATGTCACCATTGAAAAGTCTAGCTGATGGGAGAAACATAAAGAAAATGGGGATTGGAGAAATTATGAGGAGAAAGATGTGGCCATATCAAGTTTTGGGTACCATGAGAATATTCAAATGGAGCTGTTTTGAAGGCAGTTAGAAATTTAGACATTAAGTTTAGAAGAGAAGGCAGGGTTGGGGATTTGAAATCATTTGCAGATTAATAACAGCATTTATTGAAAGGTTAAGATGTGCTGGACACTGTGCTAAGTGCTTTACATGTGTTATCTTATTTTTTTAAAATATATTTTATTGATTTTTTACAGAGAGGAAGGGAGAGAGATAGAGAGTTAGAAACATCGATGAGAGAGAAACATCCATCAGCTGCCTCCTGCACATCTCCCACTGGGGATGTGCCCGCAACCCAGGTACATGCCCTTGACCGGAATCGAACCTGGGACCTTTCAGTCCGCAGGCCGACGCTCTATCCACTGAGCCAAACCGGTTTCAGCTGTTATCTTATTTAAGCCTCACAGCAAACAAGTGAACATTATATCCCACTGAGACCTACAGAAGTGATGTAACTTGCCCAAAGTTTTTAAACTAGTAAAAGCAAGAGCTGGGGTTGCAAGCAGGGTATGTCTAAATCTAGAGCAGATCTGTTGATGTGAAAACCATGGATTAGAGAGTAGCTCTGCTTTTTCACCTAGAATGCTATCTAGTCCCTGGAGGGTGCCCATACCTCCCTTCTGTGATGGAGGAGAGGGAGAGGTCACACACCCTCCACTCAAAGATTCGAAGTTTTCTCCTTCCTTCCCTTCCTCCAGTCATCTTATTTCAAATGGGGAGGGAAGGGAAGCACTGTCTGGGGTGATGGTTGGGTAGTTAGAATAAAATTGGGTTTGGCTGCCTCCAAATGAGTCCTCAAGGGGGTTTTAACCCCATGTGTTAGAATTCACTCTAGAATTTTTAAAGATAACTTTTTACCTTTTATATCTTTGAATCCTCCAGAGCAACAAAAGTGCCACTGTACAACGTATAGCTCATGAATAATACCCAATGGTTGAACTTATGGTGTGCACCCCTGAAATCTGCTGCCATAGACTCACAGATACAGAGAACAAACAGATGGTTGCCCGAGGGGGGGGGGGGGTGGGATGGCTGCATGAAAAAGGTGAAGGGGAATGAGAAGTACAAATTTCCAGTTATAAAATAATTAAGTCATGGGGATATAATGGACAGCACAGGGAATATAGTCAATAATATTGTAATAAATAGAGGCCTGGTGCACGAAAATTCATGCACTTGGGAGGGGGTCCCTCAGACCGGCCTGTGCCCTCTCACAGTCCGGGACCCCTTGGGGGCTGTCTGACTGACAGCTTAGGCTCGCTTCCCAGGGAATCGGGCCTAAGCTGGCAGTCAGACATCCCTCTGGCAGCCCAGGAGCCCTCAGGGGATGTCTGACTAACAGCTTAGTTGAATATCCTTAGCGCTGCTGCAGAGGCAGGATAGGCTCCCGCCACTGCCGCTGCTCTGGCCAGCCATGAGCCAGCTTCTGGCTGAGCAGCGCTTCCCCTGTGGAAGCACACTGACCACCAGGTGGAAGCTCCTGTGTTGAACATCTGCTCCCTTGTGGTCAGTGCACATCATAGCGACTGGTTGTTTCCAGTCATTCAGCCATTAGGGTCAATTTACATATTACCCTTTTATTATATAGGATTTTGTATGGTGACAGATGGTTACTAGACTTATCACCATGATTACATCGTAAGTTATATAAATGTTGAATCACTATGTTGTACACCTGAAACTACTATTTTATGTCAACTATAATTTTTAAAAAATTAAACATCCAAATCAAATTGCATGTGGAAGCAGTTGATTTCAGGAACCTGAGAACAAGCCACAGGAATCCAGTTTCCTCCCATCCCCTCAATGGACCTGAATCCAACTTAAACAGGATAAAGACAGATTTTTGATGTAGCTTATCTTGAATAATCAACTGATACTTAGCAAAACCATCAAAAGACCAAAAATCCCACACTTGTATAGTCCTGTTTGAGAAAAAGGATAAAAACACAAGCTTTTTTTTTTTTTTTCAAAAAGCACAACCTTTAGCAAGTTTGACTAAAAATCCCATGTAATTAAGCTGTCTGTTTTGAAATGAACCTTAACTAGAAACTAGACTCACCCGATAATGTAGCACCAGCCCCAGCTCTAATCCCTGTGGGTGTGTAGCCACATGACAAGCCACCACAGCTCCAATCCCTGCATGTACTAGAGCCTGACCACACCGGCCAGGCAAAGGCCTGCTCCTCCCTGTGTGCTGTCTTAGCCTCTGCATTATAAAACCCAACATTTATTGAGCTCTTCCGTTTCAGGATCTGTGTACCTTCTTATTTAACCCTCACAATAACCTATCAAGGCAGATACTGTTTATCTCATTTTCTATGTCCATTCTCAGGAAATTTCTGGCTTGTGTAGAGGTTAATGTCAATCACTTATGCGTGTGTCCTTCCTTACTGGTTCTAACCAAAAGAGTAGGAATGCAATGAACCGAAAAGCAGTCAGGGATCAAAGTTTTCATATACTTTATGGAGGCTAATCACACCAGCTACAGGGTCCCTGAAAGTGCTGGATTAGAGAAAGTAATTTGGAATTGAAGCCAAAACAAACAAGGCTTCCTGTTCCCTCCTGCCAAATCTGAACCTTCAGACCAGCCACTGGAGTGTACTGGGTCTGCAGGTAGACTCTTCAACACATCTCCAGCCAGCAGGGTGTGATGGATGGGGCCCGACTCACACGACCAGTCATCAGCAGGAGAGAGTGCTGGGAAGCACAGGAGAGAAATGGCTTCTAGAAAGCAGGCACTGTGCAGGTCTATCTGCTTGACAGAGCCCACTGTCTCCCTCTAACAATCTGCCTGGGAGAGCAAGATCCTACTTCTGGATCTTAAACATAGCTCTCACACATATTTCTCAAACATAACTATCCCACTGGCATCATTTAGAAAGGTTTAAAAAATTGCAGTGATCGGGCCACACCCCAGACCAACAAGATCAGAATCTTTAAAGTATTTTTAAACATTCTCCAGGCAATTGCAATGTGTGGCCTAGGCTGAGAACCACAGCTTCATAGGCTTGGTAACCTATCCCCTCGTTATGCCTCAAGTCATAAGAGGCATTTTTTGAGTGGCTACTTTTAGCTGAGCTATTGACAAAATCATCATCGTAACTCAAGAGGCAGATATGATAGCATTCACAGATGGGAAGAGGGGGACTCAGAAAAGCTAAGTGACAGACCTGGGATTGCAAATTTAGTATTGTCTCCTGAGCTGGATATTTAACCCCTGTACACTTTTTTGTTGCTTTTTGTGGATGCCCTGATCCCAGCAATCTCTCCAATCAGATCATACAATTTCTCTTTTTGTAGGGAGGAGAAAGTGAGATTTGGAGAAACTGGAACAATTCATTCCAATACTCCCTCATTAAAGAATACACTCCTGTGGAAGTTAAGGAAGAATTCTAGATTCTACTAGCGATTTTGGAAAATGTGTGGTAGGGAGTAATAATCAATAGTCAGAGTTGGTTAAAATTGTCAAGCAGCTAACACCAAACAGCACAATCTTTTAACAGAATTGCTTTATAGTTTTCAACAGCCATTCTTGGTATCTTGAGATTGAAAATAAGAAAACTGGATAGCACATATGAAGATAAGGCTAAGAATCCTGAAGAAAGAGGCCAATGGAGATTATGGGGATAAAAGAATCAAAGTCCCTTGTGAACTACCGATGACCTTACAAGCTCAGTCAAGAAAACCACGAACAGAAGCCTAGAAGACTGGGAGGGGCTGAAAGGCTGCAGGAGAGGTAAGGTAAAGTTCACATTCTGAGGCACAGAGTCAGAGGAGGAAAGGTCATGCATTAATAATAACTCACATATTTTAAAAAGCAGAGACAAAACAAGAATTACTCTTTCCTTATTTCATATTTTTAAACTCAGCAAAAACAAACATATAAATTGAATCTCGCTTTATACAAGCTTGCTGAAAGTATGTACTGGTAAATGTTAACGTCAAATAATGAGTTAATTTTTCTAAAAGAAATTTTAGCACTGAAGAGGGTTTACTAGTAAGTAATGTTTATGGTAACTTCTATATAGCAATCATTCTAATTTATTCTTTTTGCAAGTTAGCATTTTCACATAGTGAATTTGCAGGACATTGGCATGTCATTTGATCTAAGGGAAAAATGTGTGGTAGGGAGTATCTCATGAAAATAGTGTATTTGGAACAGTTGATGAGCAACAGACAACAGAATTCCTGTCCATAGATGTGCTTCCTTATTTTAATTCTTTCTTTCCAAGCTATGAATCATTATTCCTGAATGAGTAGAAAGCTGAAAGGAGGACAAGACTCCACCCATCTGTGCCAGGACAAAGTTGCATCCAGTTTGTGAAATAATCTGCATCTTCAGAACTGCACCCATTACCTGCTCCTTTTGCTGCTAGGAAACTCCGGGAAGTGTTGCAACTGGCAAATCAGGTTAATTCATTTCTGATGAAAGGCAACATGGTTACATTTTAAAATGCCCTCACATTATGTACTTTATAGTCAACTGAAGATGACTGGATCTGTATTATAAGTTTTAACTGCCAGTCTACAATGTGATGTCATCTTTGGGATAGGAAAACAAACTCTAAATTGATTTGTTGTATGATCATATCATTCTTCTCACTTGTGTGACTAAATCAGGTCACCTATAAGTGACTTATCAAGTCTATCCCCCGCCAACAAACACACACACCACACATACACTAATATTTAGAGAAGGTAAAACTTTAACATATTACTATTAAATTCTTGAGACTCTGGTGTATCATGACATGGATAGCAAGTACAGAGTTAACTGAACAAATAAATTCTTCTAAAATAATGCCATTTTATTGTTTTAACTTTTACTATTTTTATGGCTATCCCTAAGACATTTTGAAATGAGTCTTTTGCTAAAAAGCATATAGAACATATTCACATCACTTAGTTATGAGGTTAGAAACCATAAAATTAAGATTTTAAAACAGGTTTCTTAAAGTTGCCATAAAGCTCATGTTCTGAAAAATCTGAAAATTAACTTTTTACTTTGGGGGTTACTTTCAAAGATTAGATGAAAAGAGATTAATAGGACTTTACTTGCCACTCATTTTATGTATTAGTTTAACTTTAAAAAGTAGCCAAATATCAGTAATTCATATGATTCTACCTCTTTAGAATCATGGTGCAGCTGAAAAACCGTAGTTTTCATATCAAATGAAACAACATGGCCCTATGTATTCCACAGAAAAAAGTCCTCACAGGAGAGGATGACAGCTACTCTGCAATGTGCTTCAAGTATCAACTACAACACCCATTTAGCACCAGGGCTTATGGTGCTAGCTTTCCATATTACAGGATGCTACTGGTGAGGTTGTGACACAGAAGGCCAGTTCTGACTGGGTTTCTGGACTACAATGACAGTGACAGATAACTTTGGAGTGACAAGAAGCAGGGACCACTGTTTAAATTAATTCCCAACACAAAAATGCACTGTTGTTCAACAATTTAAAAATCCTATTCCCAAAAGTGTTGTTTGATCATTTAGCTTTTCTCCTGTCTATAGGACTGGAGGGCAATGACACTTCAAGAGTTAGGAAGAGAAAGAAAAGTGAGCAGCAAGCCATTTCATAGGCAATAATCAGCTGCAGAGTAATACTGGCTTTGCTGGAAATCCAAAACTGACTCGATTATGTCTTTAATGTACAACACAAATCCACAGCCATTAAATGAACTTATGAAAAACTAGCCACATTAAGTATGATAGAGATCACAATACTATTTTGAAAACGTATTTTAAAACTGCGAAACATATGACATAGAGTCTCTCATTTCCTAGTGGGTGTTAAGAGGTTCCCATAGTTCTTGGAGGATAAAACAGAGCCAAACACTGGGCATAAAAATAGGCCTATAAAGAAAAAAAACATTTTCCACAGAAATGCTCATTTAGAATCTTGTACTTCTTTATCCTAACATATTGAGATTTAAATCAACTGAGTCTTTTCTCATTTTTAAGTTTATTTTGTATAAAAGACAGATTTAGGATATTGTAAGAAATCACTAAGTTACATTTTTAAAAAAAAATCTGTCAAGTGCTATAGTAATGAAATAAGTAAATAAGATTTTTAAAAGTTCAATGTTTATAGACATATTTATCAAAAAATGACTGAATTAGAAGACATTAAATAATGCTGATACACACCAGGAAGGGACTTAGGCAAGGAAAGGCACATCATTTCACCACAAGAAATAAAGACCATGTTTGGAAGTTAATGACCAGCTGGTTGTGGTAATTTTCCTAACTCCAGAGGGTCTTTATGGTGGAACGTTCTTTATGGTACTTAGTTGAAATAAAGAAATAGCAGTTGAAGAATTTTACTCTGTGAATCCAAAGTGGTATTAAAAAGAAAGCACTCTTGTAATAAGTCTGGTGTATTAAAGGAGAAGGAGCAAAAATCCCCTTTAATGTTTGGTGGTACTGAAAATCCTATGACACTCTAAGATTTTTAAAAAAAAAAGTAAAATAAGGTTAATCTTCTTATCTGGCTGAATTGGAATTCCTGTAGTTCCAAAGTTAAAATTTCAAGTACGTAAGATTATTTTTCACCTCTTTTCTTGTAGACAGACACGGTATAGATCAACAGCTGCCATATTTCATCTTAATAAAAGTTATATGCCAATATTTAGGAAAAAGGATCTTAGATAATTTCCCTATGTTATGTAGCTTAAGTTTTTGAAAACAGCATTAATAACTCTGGCTGACTAACTATAACGGCAAAGTAAACATAAGTTTTGACGATGAGGTTTCCCAACGAAAATAAAAATTTCCAGTTGAGTGAATATAATTACTTTACTGAAAAGTCTAACAGACATCAGCAGAACTTGTTCTGGGTCAATTTCCCACTATCAGTTATCTTTCAGAATTTGTGCCAAGTATCTACCCATTTCCTTATGTCTAGACTCTGACCCTAGACTAGTTTGTTTATCACTCAGAGTAATGCATATAAATTTTAATTGTATTAAAAAACAACTGTGTGAATAAATAAAGTGGATTTTCAAGATAGAGTGATATATCTGCAAAAAAAATAGTTAAATTCAAAAAAATTGGGGGAGGGAAAATATTACTCTTTAAAAATAATAAAAATGGCAATTGTATAGCAGCTAGCTTCCCACTCATGCCACACGATATGCCTTCATTAAGGTGTACTCTTTCTGGTTGGTGTGAGCTGCCCAGATGAAGAGAGCAGAAGCCATGAACTGTAAGGGAGCTGAGACGCAAGCCAGGCAGAAGGACCATCCAAATTCACCGGACACATTCTCAGGCAGCTTTAGTTTCTGGTGGAGTAGCTCAATCCCAGCAACATAGCAACTCACTGAGCCCAGTGTGCACAGACCTTGGAGGAAAATGTAGAAAACAAAACATTGCTAGGTAAGAGCACCATAAGAGATTTTCAGGCAATGTGACAGAGCAGTAATATATGAATGTTTAGAATTATAACTCTTTGGTCTCTAGGGAGACAGAAAGAAGATAAAATGCTAAATCTGATGACAAGACCTACCTGCAAGGAGATGGAGAATGCCCGTGGCAATGGCGGGGTACAAACTTCGGCAGATACAAGCACAAAGCCCAATCAAAGCCCCAAAGCACATCAAACCTAGACTAACAAAAGGTAAAAGGAACTGGCAACGCCAAAGATCTGGAAGAAAAGAAGAGAGGAAAAACATTACCATAATTCCAGACAGTTTTCCCACAATGGAAATTTCTTTCCTATTCTACGTAGATCTTTTCTCAAAAATGAGAAAGGAATATTGAGATTTGTTTTGTAAAGCACACTGTTCAAAAAAATGCTCACTTTGTCCTGATAAATGTAAAAGTAAAAAGACACTAAAAGTTAACAACTACTGACCTCAGCGGGACAGGTCTTACTAAGTGTCAGGCACTGTTCCATAGATGCTCTGTGTACTAACCCTCCCAACATCCCTACAAACTAGTAGAGCCAGCATTTGAGGCAAAACATTCTGGCTCTACATATAAGCAAATATAAGTCCTCAGAGGATCTATGGCAGTTATAACAAGTCAATAAATGTTGATAAAAAAAAACACACACAAAAAAAACTGTTGAAAGAGTATACATAAAGTGCCAAGTAGAGGATCTGGTATATACCAGGACTCAATAAAATGGGAGATTTGTTGTTGTTGGTGGTGTTTGTTTTTTTTAAATCCTCACCCAAGATATTTTTTCCACTAATTTTCAGAGAGAGTAAAAGGGAGGGAAGGGGGAGGTGGAGAGAGAAACATCGATGTCAGAGAGACATATCAACTGAGAGAAACATCGATGTGAGAGAGACACATCGAATGGTTGCCTCCTGCCCGTGCCCCCACCAGGGCCAGGGATTGAACCTGCAACCAAGGTACATGCCTTAACTGGAAATCAAACCCATGACCCTTCAGTCCTCTGGGAGATGCTCCAACCACAGAGCCAAACTGGTCAGGGTGATAAATGGCAGTTTTAATTATCATAAATTCCTTCAACCACATGGGAAGAAAGCTGGTGACTTTACAAAGCATCCTATTCCATTTTTAAATTATTTTAATTAATAGCAATGTATCAATATCAACACCAAACCACATCTACCTTCTAATGCTAGCTTTACTTCTAGAACTACATAAAAGTTTTTCTCTTTCCTTCAAACTGTTAAAACAAATAAAATAAACTTCTTCCTATGCATTTGCCAGGCAAAATTAAGTACTTGCCATTTTATTAAATGTTTCTTCTCATGACATAGTCATTCTTCTAGGCAAGCTCTAATAAGTCTTTATAGATTGGAAAGTAGGTTCAAAACTAAAGACAGTAGTTCCTGGGTAGTCTGACCCTCAAGGAATAATAAATACTCCTAATAAATACTTTCATTTATTTTTGACATCTACAGTTCTGTTACTATCACCTAAGACTGGATTAACACTTGGGGCAGGCCTGACATTCAATTGACTCATATAGAACTTACAGTCAACTGTGTTCACACATCCCTAACTGAACTCAGGTAGCTGAAGTGTTTAACTCAAATACAGGAATTTATTACTTATCCCTATTAAATTTCCTCTTTAAATGGGCTCACTGAAAATACCTTTTGAAGGGTCTGGATTCTGTCATCCAATGTGTTATTTTTCCTCTCTCAACTTCCTATTTGCAATTTAGTAAGTGTGCACCTAACTTCTAAAATATGTTATGAACATATCAGAGTTTGTCACTGTTAGAGATCTTATTTCAAGTTGACACAATATAATAACTCATCTTGTTCCAAAATCAGAGTTCGTAAAAAGGCAAACTTATTTCCTATTTTTCCCTAACTGTCCTGCTGATATCAAAGTACTCACAGGTTCGAAGCAGATCAATCCCAGTATTGTGGTTTCCAGGCTCAACAAATTTCGCCATAAACTGCTCATTTAGCGTGAAACTCGTGCATCTTGTGACCACATCAAATGATTCTGGAACAAGAATAACAATGATTGCTTGCTGTTTTAATACTAAGCATTTAACAAAAAAATCTCTTTCAAGTAACTATTCTCTGAAATAAAAAGTGATAGAGATGTTCGCAGAGGAGACAGCAACATCTTTAGCTCTGACATGTAGGATCAATGCCCAATAGATACCAGTAGTTCTCAGTGGCAGGCTTAAGACCTGGGCACAAGAAAGGGGGGAAAAAAAAGTAGGAGCAGTAAAATCAATGAGAATAGATATGTAAGAACACTAGGAAGGAGGAGGAGCAGGGGACAAAAACAAATAAATAGGAACTTTGATCTTCTTTCCTCCCTCACTCCACCAGCCATCTTCCCCATTTCAGGTAATGACAATTCTACCCTTCCAGTTCCTCAGCCTAGAAAGTTTAGTCATTCTTGTCCACATGCATTCCATCAGGAACTCCTAGAGGCTCTACCTTCAAAATATATCTAGAATCCAGCCAATGCTCAGTACTACCACCCTGGTCTGAGTCACAATCATCTCTCACCTGAATTAGTGCATAAGCCTAATTAGTCTCCTGGCTTCCACCTTTGCCTGACACCTGTATTCAACATATCAGCCTAAATGAGCAGATCATCTCTCCTCTGCTCAAAGCTCCCCAATGACTCCATCACATAAAAGCCAAAGTCCTCTTCATGCCTAGAGAATCCTGCATGATTTGCTCTACTCCCACCCCATGAGTACTGTCTCTGATAGAATACCCATCTCCCTCTCCCTCCATTCCAGTCAAGTGGTTTCCTCACTGGTCCTTGACTATTTTAGGCATGCTCCCAACGTAGGGCTTTTCAGTAGTTGTTTCTTCCAACCTAAATGATCTCCTCTGTCTCCACAATGACCTATTCGGCCAACACCTTCACCTATATCAAGTCTTTACTCAAGTGGTGTCTTTTGTTGGAGCCTATACTACTGAATATTGTAACTTATCCCATCAACATCATGTTTTTCCAACTCCCCTTTATTTTGCTATATTTTAGCATGTGTCATCTTCTAACATTTTATATAATTATTTATTGCTTATACTGTTATACCTATGTTTATTGCCTGTCACACCTTATTAGTAGAATGTAAGTAGTTTCTCCAGAGTAAGAATTTTTATTTTTATTTTTCCTGATGTACTCCCAACTTCTAGGCCCTGGAATATGGAGACAGATAATAAATATTTGTTGAATGAAGGATAAATAGTTGCTAAATTCAAATATCAAGTACTCCTATGCTCTAATAGTTAAATGTTTTACAATAAACTTTAACCTACTTTCCCCTCTTACAAACTACTTTTTTTTCCCATATAAAATCACAACATCCATCTTCTGATGTATGGCAACTCAAGCCTGTTGTGCTGGGATCTGAATACAGTGATTCCCACCAACAGGCCAACAGAAGTAGTCACAAATTAAAAAAAACACACAAAATGTAAAGCTGTTCCTTACAAAGAGCTCTAAAGTTTCCATTTTAATAACTGGAAATTAAAATTTTTAAATATTAAGAATGCTTGCAAAATAAACGTGAGAGACAATTTCTTAGGTTATTTTTCTTCTGTACATCTTTAATCTATAAGCTCTATCAAGATTGTTGTAAAACAGTCCTGACTGGTGTGGTTCAGTTGGTTGGGCGTTGTCCGAGGCACTGAAGTGTTGCTGGTTCAATTCCTGGTCAGAGCACATGACCAGGTTTCGGGCTTGATCCCTGGTAGGGGACGTGCAGGAGGCAGCTGATTGATGTTCTGCTCTCATGTTGATGATTCTCGCTCTCCCTTCCCCTCTCATTAAATATCAATAAAAAAATCTTTTTTTAAAAAAAGGTTGTAAAACAGTCTCAAATATGCACAGATATAAATGTAGAGTTGGTCAAATTATACTAAGATTTAGAGGGCAAATGATAATACCTACTAACACAGCTAACATATAAAAGAACTATCAATTCATATTTGTTGATCTGATTTTGGATACTAGTCCTTTTTACCAGTTACTAAGTGTTTAAAGTCTTATTTGTACTTTCCCATTTATTTCCCCATGATGAGTGAGATGAATAAAAAGGCTTTTAATAAATAGGTATATAAGTACAAAGATTTAAAATGTCTTTCTCAAGATAAGGACAGTTACTCACCCAACCAATATTTATGAATACAATGGTAACTCATGAAAGGCGGGGGTAGAAGGTGGTATGGAGAGAAGAAACACAGATTTATTTCTTTGAGGAAAGAACTCCCAAACCAGTTTATACATAATTGGGTCATCATCATATCACCTCATTCCTATTTGAACAGGTAAAGGATAAAGAACTTAAAACGAGGAATACCTGTCCTTTCTTGGTTATTCCAATATACGTTCTGGGGTATACTGACACACCGTCTCCACAATCCCATTGTGCCGTTATATCGAAAAAGTACATCACTGTACGTCTTTTCATCTGCTTCATCACTAGCAAAGTCGCTCCAGAGGCTTTTGTTCAAATCACTGGAATTTTCTTGAACTGGACTTCGATATTCATACCAGAAGTCTGTGCCAATCGAGGCTGCCATGTAGATGGTGGAAATGAGGCTCAGCACACAAGCAATTACAAATGCTGTAGCGAAACGGTTATCCATTCTGGCATTCACACTGCTCTGTATAAAAATTGGAGAAACGTTAGACTCAACCAAGGACAAATAAAGATCATTTTGAAAGAAATGATCTCAAAATCGCCCCTTTATTTCCCATCCTTTGGCTATTTAAAGTAAAGTCTACTCATGAAGAAGTTTTTTTATTTGTTTGTTTTTTTTAAAAAGCATGTTTTAAATTAAGTTCAAAACAACAGTCAGCATGAAAGTACTTATTGAAAGTTCACATACCCAGGACGCTATGGAGACAGAGGTCTTGTTCTCTAGTCTCTCACCTGCACACTAAAACAGACAACACTGAAAAGGACGTACACGTTACAGATGCAGACAACACACATGCCCAGAGTCAGCAATGCACCCTGCGTGAATTTTTAATCACAGACTGAGTTTTTACACGAGCTGCAGCGCATTCAGTGTCCCCGGTCGGGGTGCGGGGTGTGAAAAGGGCAGAGGAAAAGGAAGCAGAGGAGGGAAATCCGCTCCTCCCCGTTCCCTCTCAAGAGGGAAACCTAAAAACCAGGTTTAGAATCAGGAACACGGCGTGGACGATATCTGTGAGCCCACAGAGAAAGGCTGTTTTAGGTGCAGAGCACGGCGAGGAGGACAAAATCACGCCGAGTGCTGGATCTCCACCTGCCCCGACCCAGGAACGCGAAGCCAGCCAGGCTCCTTCACCCGGCACGTTCCTCGCGCCCAGCGCTCTCCCCAGTCCCGACACTCCTGCACCTCCCCATCTGCAAACTCAGTGAACTCTCCTCCGCCAGAGGAAAGTGTGCACTAGGCAACAGGAAGGCGTGGACGCGGCTCCGCGGCGGCGGTCGATGGCCGCAGTGAAGTGAGTCAAGGCGGATCGGGCCGAGTCGAAGGCTGCCCCCGACACACCTTACAGAGCAGCTCGGACACGGGCTCCAGGACGGCGGGGGCCGCGCCAGGAGGCTGGGGGGTGACTCGGGCGATCAGGGCAATAACAGTCATGCATGGCAACCCCAGGAGGCGGGTTGGGGTCTATTCCTTTGAACCCTCTGTCATCCTCCTGCTCGCAAATGACCTTAAAATGAGGTCCCGGCACCGGGAGGGCGCTCCTCCCAGGCCGGACGCCCCTGGGGACCGGGTGAGGTCGACGCGGGTCGGGTAGGGATGGGGAAGCCCTGCGCGGACCCGGCCAGGGGCCCCAGGTACCCGACCAGGCCCCTCCCCAGACCCCTCGGCCGAGGGACCACCCCCGCCCAGCTCGGCCGCTCAGAACCCGCCCACCCCAGCGGCGCCAGGGGAGGGGACCCTCCCTAAACCGCTGGCAACGTCGCACGGCGACGCGACCCCCGCCCGGCGACGCCGGCCCCGCTCGCTCACCGCCCATCCTCCTGCTCCGCCAGCTTCACCCTTCAGCTCGGACCACAGCACCCTACTCTCCCCGCGCCTCCTCTGACGCACTTCCCTGCAGAGCCCGCCCCCTCCACAACTCCCGCGCCTCCGCCTCCACCCCAGGTCTGGCCCCGGCCCAGGCCCAGGCCCGGGGCCGAGGGGGCTTGTGGGAGTTGTAGGAGGGACGGAGGGAGAGCTGAGAGAGGAGGCGGACGGCATTCCCGGCGCAGCGCGCGGCGCATTGTGGGGGATGTAGTTCAGCTCCCGAGGGAAAGCAGCAGGCAAACGGGAGGTCTGGACTGGTGGATTCTTTTATTTTACAAGGAAAGGTCTGGGGTCCACAGATTAAGGCGAACTGTCTCTGGTCACTGCTGGTCATCGGTTGTGACCTATATAACGGAGGTTTTACAATTCAAAGAGGAAGATACCACCTCAAATTCAAAGACAAGGGAACTGAGCTCAGGGTGAATAACTGACTTCCCAAACTTGAGTGTTGGAGTGAGCCGACTAGCTTTGTGACATTACAGTTTACTTCTTTAAGTTTCAGTTTTATTTTCTCCAAAATATGGGTGTTGACAATAGCCCCTGTCCAAAGTGATCATTGTGAGTACTGAATGAGGAAGAAAATAAAAAATAAAATGCCCAGCACAGGGACTGAGGCATAGTAAACAATTATTAAGTTATTAGAGGCCCAGTGCATGAAATTCGTGCAGGGGGGGGGGGGGGGGGAGTCCCTCAGCCTGGCCTGCACCCTCTTGTAATCTGGGACCCCTCGGGGGATGTTTGACTGCTGGTTTAGGCTGATCCCTAAACTGGCAGACATCCCTCTTGCAATCTGGGACTGCTGGCTCCTAACCGCTTGCTTGCCTGCCTGATCGCCCCTAACCACCTCTGCCTCATCCCCCGCTGCCACGGCTTCGTCAAAAAGGTCGTTTGGCTGTCCCGTCTAATTAGCATATAATGCTTTTCTTATTATAGATTAGTATTGGAAAATATGTGTTGAACATCTAGAATGTTTAAGTAGGGTCATTATATAAAGCAGCGGTTCTCAACCTGTGGGTCACGACCCCTTTGGCGGTTGAACGACCCTTTCACAGGGGTCGCCTAAGACCATTCTGCATATCAGATATTTACATTACAATTCATAACAGTAGCAACATTACAGTTATGAAGTAGCAACGAAAATATTTTATGGTTGGGTCACAACATGAAGAACTGTAAAGGGCCAGAAGGTTGAGAACCACTGATATACAGCCTTTAAAAGCTCCTGATTCCTCTAGAGCAGTGGTTCTCAACCTTCCTAATGCCGCGACCCTTTAACACAGTTCCTCATGTTGTGGTGACCCCCAATTTCATTGTTACAAATTGAACATAATTAAAGCATAGTGCTTAATCACAAAAACAATATGTAATTATATATGTGTTTTCCGATGGTCTTAGGCGACCCCTGTGAAAGGGTCGTTCGACCCCCAAAGGGGTCGCGACCCACAGGTTGAGAACCTCTACTCTAGAGGGAGAAAATAAGCCATTTATAGAGGTAGGAGTCTGTTCATTTCAGTAGGTTTTATGAACCTCTGGACTAACTGTCAGATGACTAGGAAAGACTTACCAGGACCAGATTTCAGGCATCCTTATGTAGCTCTGTTCAAGCACACATAAGCATTCATGATTCAGGGTGGTTGTCTTTGGGGAGACCTGCAAAGGAGGATGTCACTTTCATCCATCAAGTCTGCAGAATGCTTAGAAAACACACAAAACACATTTCACTCAGCAATTTAGAATGGACCTGGAAGTGTCTGCCTGTTAGAGGCTATGACCATCCTGCCCAGTCAGCACAGAGGACTTGCACTGTCCCATCGTATGCAGTAACTCCAAGCACACAACCATATTTCTGATTTATCTCTGCATCTTGGGTGTTTTCTGTTTATACTTATTTGTGTGGGTAGGCAATATAAATCCTTAATAATAGAGTTAAATGTCTGCTTCCATTTCTTACTCTGTTGTTTTGGAAAACAGTAGTTGGACTGAAATATTTTTATAAACTGTTAAAGAGAATTTAAGGCAACCATGTACAGATTATGCAATTTACATTTAAAAGCAAAGTTGAACTAGGCCTCTGGCTTTAATTTGTTAAGGGTGGTTCTAGTTTCAGCAGGTTTTGCAGTTACATTACAGTTTAAATAAGCCAACAACCGAAATATAGATATGCAGATATTATTTGCTTATATTATGTACTTACAAAACAATTCTTAATATGAGAATTACCAAATTCCCTAATCTAATTAAATATTAATTTTTAATTGCACATATTTTAGGAACTAAAAAATTATGTTGAATAAAGTATATCTACATTATATTTTTCTCATAAAATTTTGTTGTTTTTCTTGTGAAAGGAAAACCTAGTAGTATAGAAAGAAGAAAAATAGGAATATATACAAACTCTCAACTCCAATAAACAACCACCCTAAAAAACTTATATAAAATTTTTCCTTGGATCAATTCACTATAGAAAAATAGCTATATTAACAAGAACAAGGCAAATAGAAAAGTTCATCTAAAATGGCTTTCCTCAAGATGGCAGAGTAGAATGGAGGGAGACTTGAATTGGGGAGGTGAAGACACAATACAGTGTACAGATGATGTGTTGTGGAATTATGCACTTGAAACCTATGTAATTTTGTTAAACAGTGTCACCCCAATAAATTCAATAAAAAGGAAAGAAAAAGATGGCAGAGTAGGAAAATGCTGTGCTCACCTCCTCTCACAACCACATCAAAATTACAACTGCCCTAGCCAGTTTGGCTCAGTGGATAGAGCATCAACCTATGGACCAAAGGGTCCCTGGTTTAATTCTGGTCAAGGGCACATACCTTGGTTGCAGGCTTCTTCCTGGCTTGGGCTCTGGTTGTAGGAAACCAATCAATGTGTTTCTCTCACATCAATGTTTCTTTCTGTCTTTCCCTCTCTCCTCCACTCTCTTCAAAAATCAATGGAAAAATATCCTCAGGTGATGATTTAAAAAAAAAATTACAACTAAATGCCCTGGCCAGGTAGCTCAGTTGGTTAGAATGTCATCCCGAAATACCAAGGTTGTGGGTTTGATCCCCAGTCAGGGTACATGTAAGAATCAACCAATGAATGCATAAATAAATGGAACAAATCAATAAACATGTCATCAAATAAACTCATAAAAATTTTTAAAAAGAAGTACAAATTGACAGTTATAAAATGAGTCATGGGGCTATAAAGTACATCACAGGGAATCCTATATAATAAAAGCGTACTATGAAAATTGTCCACTTGACTGGGAGTTCGACCAGGGGCCTGCTGGGGGAAGGGAGGGAGGCCCTGGCCAGCAGTTGGCAGCCGCTAGAGACCCTACCAGTGCACAATTTTTGTGCACTGGGCCTCTAGTATAGTAAATAATATTGTAATAACCATATAGGGTGTCAGATGGGTACTAGATTTATAAGGGGTGATCACTTTGTAATGTATATAAATAACTAATCACTATGTTGTACACCTGATGCTAACATAATATTGTATATCAACTATAATAAAAAATTAATTAAATGAATTCAATGCTCTATATTCCCTGTTGATGGAACCTGGTAACACTTAATTTGGTAGGATATATTACATTACTAGTGTATTACAGAAAACTCTCCAAGTAACTGTCAAAATAAAAATAAATCATTAACTCTTAGAGTATAAACAGATCTCTTAAACTGGACTACTTAAATTGTTATACACTGTATAATACTCAAATAAGAAATGGACAAGAGCCAAAACCGGTTTGGTTCAGCGGATAGAGCGTCGGCCTGCGGAATGAAGGGTCCCGGGTTCGATTCCGGTCAAGGGCATGTACGTTGGTTGCGGGCACATCCCCAGTAGGAGATGTGCAGGAGGCAGCTGGTCGATGTTTCTCTCTCATCGATGTTTCTAACTCTCTATCCCTCTCCCTTCCTCTCTGTAAAAAATCAATAAAATATATTTAAAAAAAAAAGAAATGGACAAGAGTGGGGCTTTTCTAATAAAATATATCATCATCTGATAAAATTAATGAAAAACAATTTGCTTCATGACATTTGCCATTTATTATAGGGCTCATCAGGACAGCATATATGAGCAGAGATTTCTTTCTGCTATGCTATATGCTATATATTCTGATGAGTCCTTATTTAATATGGGGACCAGAGTGGTTGACAGAGAAGAAGCAGAAGAAATATATCACAATGCCAGTTGGGGTGGCTGTATTCACAGAAAACCTCAGTCCACCTGTGAAGCAGAGGATGCAAGTCACAGCTATGGCCACATGATACATGATATTAGATTCTCTGTGGAGCAAACCTTACTCTCTCCTCATCTTCAACATCTGACCCAATTCTGAACATATCTCAGGAACTGGGACACAGAATTGGAAGAGCTCTGAAGTCTAAATTTCTAAAATTTTGTGAAGTTCAAGGAAGAAGACTTCTAAAAAATTCAAATTTAGAGGTGATTTTTAAACTTTTTAAAAAGTTAGCCAAAGTAATAACAAAGCATAACATATGAAGTTGGTTAAGATAAGTGAATGAGAATAGTGATTCTAAACTTTAGTGTGTATACGAATCACCTTTGATGTTTGTTAAATATAAAGTCCTAGACTCCACTCCTAATGATTTTGATTCAATAGATCTGGGGCTGTGCTCAGAAAGCCACAGTTCAGTAGGCACCCAAGCGACTCTCATGTGGGTAATGTGGTCTGGCACCCACAGGTTCAAAACAATGGCTTCGACAGTCCATAAAAGACTTTAATTGGGTAGTTACTAGAGGCCAGTGGAGAGATAATGGATGGTCTCTCCCTTCAACTTGCTCATGATCAGCTCAGGAGGTCAGACACCAAAGGAACAAATCATGTGGAATGAATCATAAACAGTGTTGTATAAGGTCTCAGAGAACATAAAGGTGGAAGCAATTATCTGCCGGGATGGGAGAGGAAAGTTGAGCAGCTTGGAGGGGAAACCCATTCTTGAGATGGCATATATGCTGTAATTCAGTTACTAATATTTACATCTTACTCTTTTTTTTTTTAAATCATCCTGTTCAGACTGCTTTTTTATAGGCTGTATGTGTGATGTTGTTTTGAGTTTTGGTCTATGTGTACTGCTTATTTTATTGTTAATTATGTCGTAAATGCTTCCCTCCACATCCTGCATGGTTCAGGGTTCAGGTTTGGAAGAGGAGCCGCACACAAATGAAAGAGAAAAGACAAGAGATAATTTGGAAATATTGGGGGACCAGGCGAGTAAGTCCAACTCAAAAGGAAGGACTTCCACCCCTGCTTAGGCCAAACCGACCTTTTATAGACAGAGGTAAACAAGGCAGTGGTTACCATAGTTACAGTTCTTGTGAGTTTCACCTGTTTTGACCATGTTTACACTCCTTGCACTTCCCTCAGCCCATTAGCTTCCCGGGTAAGACCTGGGGAGTGTTCTAAGGTCAAGCCTAATTATGCTAAGAGGACTGAGCCCTCTAAGCTGGGACTTGTTTGTGACTTTGCCAGCAGGTCAGTCCGAGGCTCAACCCTATATCGTTTTCCCACAAATTAACTCATATTTATGTCAATTGCATTTGAAGCCTGAAAATGACCATTACACCCGAGCTGATTTAAAGCAATGTCCGTCCTTACTTTGTCTAGTCAGCTTCTATTATGGGTTCTGTCTTATAATAGCTTAGTATTCTTTGAGTTATTAAAAGCTCAGAACAATTCTATTTGTTCCCTTTTGTGGCTCAAAACACTTAATTTGTTTTTTAACTTGGGTCCCAAGATACTGTTGATCCATGTTAGATATTCTCACATCGCAGCATGCAACCACTAATTACTGTATTCCAAGTGACCATGTATCATGAAGTAAATCATTTTGTCTACAGCTGGCTTAAAATTTACTGAGAAATTCAGATTTGTTTGACATAGTTTACATCAGCAGGCCAACAATTTTGAATGCTGAAAGAAAATTTAAGGCCTTCAGAATAATTGTGCAGCCAGATATTTTTCTCTAGAGCAGTGGTTCTCAACCTTGGCTGCACATTAGAATCACCTGGGAATCTTTTTAAAATCCTCATTTCTGGGCCT